GAATTTTGCTGACAAGCTGTTTCAAATTAAGTAAATTATTTTTGTCAAATGGAAACAAAGGTATAAATAAAATATACGATAAAGGAGGCAAAAGGATCGCAATCACCTAGACCAGTATCTCCTAAATTAAATTGGCTGAGGCTCAAACTTAGAATTGTACACGGGATTAATTTTACATAAACAAACTTATATTACCTTACATACAGTCGAACGGCAGGTTACCGAAAATGCCCTTTCCCCATTGATTTTAAATTCTATTAATAATTAATTAAGGTTTACAATCTAGTGACTAAAATTGACATTTGTTTAACCTGATCCGCTGTTTACTGTACAATCGTTTTCTCATGAATTGGGTACTTATATTTAAATTACTCTAAGATTAACCAGATTAAAGTGACGCTTGGCAAAGATCCGGGTTGAAATTTATCATTTTTATTTAATGTCTACTTTAATAATTTGTACAATGACAAATTGTCAGCTTTTAAATTGCATAAAGGACAATATCTAAACCATCACCTGACCGTGAGTAATTTAAGTTCTTATTTTGCCTCCAAACTAATTTAAGAATATATAAAGCATGACCCATTTTATGAATAGTAGATGATGATTATTCACCTGCTCTCATGAGGGGGACATTATCTGCTATGATTTATAGCAGCCAATGTGTCAAAGTGCAATTGCCGAAATTTAGCATCGGTGCAGCGACCGAATTACTATTTACAACTACTACCTCATTTAAAACACAATTAAAAATTATATTTTAAAGCAGAAGTTCCATCACAAGAAAATAATTTTAAAAATAATATTTTCAATGTCTCAAAATATCAACATTTTTAATAATAATATTTTCAAAAGCTTTTAATAATCACTAAAGTATTAATAAAAGATGTAGAAAATAAAATAAAATTTGGTCAAACCAAATGTTGAAACTGCAGTTCATTTTATTTTTTTCTAGTACATCACGACTCAGATTATATTATCATTATCAGCCCGGAAGATATAAAGCTTTGAAAGCTAGGAAGAAGGTAGCCTTTAAGAAGTCAATGATATATTGACTTCTTAAAGGCTACCAGAGTAAAAGAGCTTCTATAATTCACGAGCCGAAAATAGATTTTTATGCTACTACGATTCTACATGGAACTGCATAACTCCTTCACAATAAATAATAATATAATAATTAAATACTGTTAGGCCACTTTGCTTAGGAGAATCTCTTCAAAAGAACGACAAGCAAAAGTTTTTGTAAACACTTGTTAATTAGACCGTTAAGATTTCTACATTCCTCATTATAGTGTCCACATTCGTTCGCATAATCTACCAATAACGATATCGTCTTTCAAAATGAAATCGAAACTGTCTTGTTGCATAAGGCTATATGAGCCCGCGTGGGTAGGCAGATACACAACACTGTGAGATTTGACTCCGGACAGAAGTAGATGTTTTGACCTCTTGCTCAATGAAACTTACCAGTTATTGAATAGCTCCATATACGGTGTAAACGTTTTACTTTGTTATTTGTATTAATAGTTGTAACCCATGACTTCGTATTTATAGAAACATATATCTTCCCATGGGAATATGTTGTTACGAGGTGAAACTAAATAATAGATAATTTAAAGCGTATATATTGTGATATCACGAGTGTCAAACTATTAATTGTCTATGAATTCATTATTTATTCAATTGGAGAGGTAATAAATGATAATTAAATTATCTTTTAAGTACAGAAACTAATAGTTATAGGAAAAAGAAGATTTATAAAAGATAGTCTTTCTATAAATCGATTATAATGCAATCTAAACAAGAGTTATATCAATAAATGTATTCATTATTGTTAGTCAGTAATCTAGTATAAATTTTGAACACGTAACGCGTTGAAGTCTTTTTCATTAAATCACAGGAAGAATATATCTTACGTAGAATTTGTGATACTATCAATAAAAAAAATCAAATTAACTTGATTTTCTGAATAGGCGTTTAATATAACAGAAAATTAATGAGATATTAACAAACTAGTTTACATTTCTTGTTATCGTAGACAAAACAACATTTTTCGGCACTTTTATTTATAGTTTTATATCAAAATTGGGTACAATATAGTGTCAGTTAGTCTGCACTAATTGTCCGTATTTTGACCTAAAGGACTGCTACTTTAGTACCTTACCACGTAGGAGTGGCATCGCGTGAGAAACTTCGGTGCTTGACTTAACACGTTAATGGTAATGGACTACCTATTATGTTTATTATCTCCTTATCAAGTCAACATTGTCTTGAGCTTGAGTGTTTAAATGCGTTATTCCTAAAAGGTCTATGTGGATCCGAATGGGGTCTCATCATCAGTCTCTATTAATATCCCCACGTCTGAAGCGGATCAGGGAGAATGGGCCATGACCCACCACGCGTCCCAGTGAATATTGTTGATTGTTAACTACTGAAGATTTGGAATCAACGTCTTAAAGTGTCTTCTAAAGCATAAAGCATGAGATGATAAATTTTACGTAATTTAAGCATTGCAAGGAGAAAATTAACTCTTACCTTTTTATAATATTAGTATGATTATTGTATTTTGTGGGCCTCTGCTTATTATCCTAAACGTGATTAAGCATGAAGTTGATTTATTGAAGAAGTCAGATAAAAATCATTCTTACTGATAGTTTCCTAGATACAAATTGCATCTATGCAATACCGGAGGGGATCGTGAGTATTCAATAATATTAATCATAACTTAAAAACATCTTATTATTAATTTTTTCTACCAATAAAAAAGGCTCGACTTAATATGACGGCAATGATATTGTTTCAAGTCGCATGAGTCATGGTACTGCTCAGAGAACCTTTATTTTTAACTTACCAGCAACTTTGGAATATGAAACATGTTTGAACAAGTTTCCAATTAATTGTCATGCTTTTATTGTAATATTGTTTTGTCATTAAATGGAGTAAACAAAGGATATCACTGAAAGGCGTTACGAATCTTTCTGTCGATTTACGCAAACGTTTATTTTTCGCTGCCAGACGTTATACGAGTATATAGCGTTCTAAAATTGCATGTGACGCAAATATATACGCAAAAATATTCGCAAATATAGAATTTATTTTTTCTCTTTTCTTGATATGGATTGCCAGATAAGAAAAGTAAACAATCGAGGTCCAAATATATTAAGCTTGTTATACACATAATACAAGTAAATAAAAATAATCTCTATAAATAAGTGATGGTTATTATCGTTTTGTTTCTTTCAGTTTTGCCTTCAGGTTTAGTAAAGTGCGTCGTAATCGTAACACATGTTCCACAATGAGACGATTGAATTATTCTTTTATTAAATTAGGTCTTGTTTATTTGTTATGTTTAGAATAGAAGTCTTCTCTGGTTTCTATATTTTCGAATAATGTAAGTTTTATTTTTTAAATTCTTCGGAGTTCGATTTTCAAACTGAGAACTCCTTTTTCTCTTAATGTATGAATGCAGTTTTTCTTGACACTCAAATCGTTGTTATGGTTTCTAAGAATAGTGGCCTAATTGTATAATTTCAACATTTATCACAAACACTTTCAAAGGTAAAGCGATCAATTGAATTATATAACGTTTAAAGTCGCATTTTAGAACTGTGCAAATGATCATAGTTTAGACAATTCCCACTAACATCACAAGTTAAATATTTGTGGCGTGAAGTTTGTGAATATCATTCAAATATTAAATTGAGACTGCGTTATACTTTTAAATTAGATAATTATTGTTAGTGAAAAATACTTAAAAAATCCACTTGGTCCCTGGCTTCGAACGTATAAACTTTCGCAATCGTCAGTTCTGTTAGGTCCTGGGTAGCTTAGTGGTAAGAGCAGTCGCCCGGAAAGCGAAAGGTCGTGGGTTCAAACACTATCTCAGGGGGCCAAGTGGATTTTTTAAGCATTTTTCACTAAGAATATGTTTCAGTATGACATTGCGAATGCGAAATTGACCAAATATAATAATTAGACAATTATTATAGCCCAAGGAATTTCTGTAAAAGAAAGTATCTGACTTTCCCATACTGACCGTTCCAAATGAATGACTCTATTGATACAGATTACAGCCATACGTATTTATATTTCAACAAAATTGGGAAAATATATTTAATTTTTATTGCTCAAACAATTTTATTTAAGAAATTCCCACGGTAACGTCTGTTTACCCCAGCGATATACATCAAAATGCTTTTATTAAAGAGTTTATTTTGAGTCCGTCACTCTGTTTAATGATGACAGATGTGCAATAGTAGGTCATACTTTCTTAGGTATTAAACGTAATGTATTTAGCGGTATGTGGGTTACGTTCGTTCAACATCTTTTTACTGAAGTAGGTGAATGCAATTAGAAAATCTTCTAATAGGAGTGGGATGATTTTATCGCTATAAAAAGTTTGCAAGATAGAAGAACATTGATGAAAATACGCTCTGTGGTAGAGAAAAAGTAATAAGTGCTTGAAAAATTTCTTCAATCCTGTTGGGTCCTGGGTAGCTCAGAATGCCAGGGACAAAGTGGATTTTTAAATAAAGTTAAAAATGATAGATTACATTTACATTTGAAGAGGTTTGCACCCAGTTGCTCACACATTCTTTAAGGTTTTAATGAGTAAATTAAGCTCTAATGAAGGTCCTAAGTTTTAAAATTTTATATAATTAAACTTTGTACATTTTGGTTTCACAAAACATTGTCAAAAAATAGTAATAACATAAACGTGCCTTGCTCAGTTTCAAAGATAAGTAGTTTATGCCCTCGTATTATGGAGTTTCTTAGACAACGAAGGCACCACGACACCCAGACCCGAGAAAATATAGAAAAGTCAATTTTCTACATTCACCCGACCGGTAATCGAACTCGAGACCTCAGAGTCGGCGACACCTTGAAACCGGCGTGCGAACCACCCAACTACGGAGGTGGTCGTCTAATAGGATAGCAATAAATTTTTATCCTTTCATCGCAACTTTTAATAACCTTTTATCTTTTTATTTGTTTCATAGACTGCAGAACGAAGCGCTGGCTGGGAGACGCATCGTGTACGCCTGAATAGGGTACCAGGTTATGGGTTCGGGATCGCTGTGTCCGGTGGCAGGGACAATCCTCATTTCGCTAGTGGCGACCCATCCATTGCTGTGTCGGACGTGCTGAGAGGGGGGCCAGCTGAAGATAAATTACAGTACGTGGATCTTCTTATAGTAATATTGCACTTATGGTGGTAAATATTTTTTACAAAACTGACTTAAATATACAATCTGATTGAAAATTTCAGGCTTCATCTACCGATAAAACGCATTTTGTTGTTGTAAAAAACTCAATTAGCAAGTTTCACCGACATGGGTATGATATACTCATACTAAATCTTTAGTCTATATTTGATTGGCTGCTTTTGATATTCCGTTAAAAATTGTGTCATCTTAAGAGGATGCGCGTACCCAAATTTACTTATTTTCAACTGCTTTGAGAAAAAGGAACATCCAAACGAACTGTAATTAAAAATGGGAATACTAGATCATATGCCTCAATTATGCAACTCTTTTACAATAATCGTAATAATTTGCGTGTAATTAATTAACGATCATTTTTTGCGCAACTCGCTATCTTCTTCTCTTTTTTTATCTCATTCACACGTGCAACGAGATAGACAGGGGAAGAATATTCACTTTATGCGCCCTCTTAATTGGTTACGATTATGACCCAACGCCCTTGCAAATATGATTTAAAAGTTCAGCATAAGAACCCCGCTCCACGTGTTTTTTAAATGGAGCCTAAAGAAGAAGAACATAAAGTTTGTAATGAATTGCACTCTAAAATACACTCTTAGTTTCATGCATTATGTAAAATGATTGTATAATAATTATAATTATGTTAAATGTTTATGGTAATAGAAAATTTGAATAGTCTTATGCGCACCACAAAAAATGTCATAAGCATTATGCATACGGCTTCATAAAAATAAAAAAAGCATTAATATTCATGTTGTTTTAAATTGCAGAGTGAATGATAGGATAGTGTCTGTGAACGGAGTACCTTTAGAGAATGTGGAATATGCCCGTGCGGTGCAAGTGTTACGGGATTCAGGAGCGGCTGTTTCGCTGGTGGTTAAGAGGAGAGCCCCCGCTCCTCCCCCGACAGCGCCAACCACCATCAAGCTGTCTCTGTCTAGAAACGGGAAGAAAGAAGGTTGGTAGTACCTATAAAATATATCTATTCTTGAAATAAAGAAGGTTTCCTTTATAGATTAAAATACTTACATTAAAAAGAATAACTCACACTACTGGCTGCACTAATTTTCGTGGATTTCTGCACAAGGTTTAGGAATTATAAGTATACTTGTACATCTATGTGTAAACAACCAATTACGATGATTTGTTACAGATTTCGGAATAGTCTTAGGATGTAAACTATATGTCAAAGAATTAACTATGAGGGCGCGTGAACAGCTCAACCAAGCAGGCCAGGGACTATGCGAAGGCGATGTAGTGACAAGGATCAACAACAGCCCTGTCACTGACGCAATGACGCTGAAGGAAGCCAGGAAACTAATAGAGAGTTGTAAAGACCGCCTCAATTTGGTGATAACGAGGGAACTGATCAGGGAGGAGACAGTGACCAATGGAAATTATCAAAATAACTACAATAGCTTAGGTTTGTATAAAAGTTATTTGTTGTATTCCAATCACAACATATAGTTCTAGAAATGAATAATTGCTTTTTGGTGACTTTGACTTTGCAAATATCACCAAACTTACATCACCTAACTACCACATCGGGTTATTTATCATAACGCCTTTTTTAAGGTTCTAGAGTCATAAATTTCAATCCCACTATTAAAGTTTTTCTTTAATTATAACTCTTTTTATAGAAGCCCAACCACACAACGTATACACGGGAGGGGGAGAGGCGATATCGCCTGCTTACTCTAGCAGTGGACAGAATTTGTATGTAGCTGCGCCAGTGAGAGGCAACGAGAACAGAAGGGGACAGATGCCACACGAACACGACCAACCGCCTAGACCGCCACCCCCAAGAAATGAAGGTACAGTTAACCTCTTGATCACCCAACCGAAAACCGGCCACTGTGAAAGTTGTCTAACTTACGCAAATGCAGATTGATGTAAGATCTTTAAAAAAGTTTATTGGTATATATTCGGGCATAATGAAGTTCCACATATTAATTATATCAACAAAGAGTAATAATATTATATTAATTAACCTGTTTATTCCTTCTCTAAGCAAGAATAATGAGCAACTTGCCACTGTTATTAGGTTAGAAATGATATAAGTAGTTTAAGAGTGAATGTAGTATAAATAATGCTAATCTATAGTAAATTAAACACAGTTTATCCTTAAAAATTACTTTAACAGCTTTTATTTGAAATTGTTTCAGATTACTATAGCAGTAGAAGACAGCTGTACGAAGAGGACGGTGTCGTCAATCAACGGAATAAGCCCCCGTGAGTGAAATGAATAAATAACTTATTTTTGCATATATTAATTTAGGCAATGGATCGGTGTAATTTAATGATTTCGAAAAGAAATACGTGGTTAATATTTTTCAACAATTTGCCTGACGGACAAACAAACAAAAATTAGTCGTCATCCTTATTTTTTATTCCCGTCTTTTCGGTTAGTTGTTTTTTACGTAGGCGGGTTTTTTTTTGTAATTGTTGACACTAGGACCAAAAATGGGTTAAATATATTTTCTTACGAACATTATTGCTTTAGAATAATGCGAATGTAAATAATTTTTAGCATTATTTCGTTTTCATCAGGATAATAATTATTAAAAAGTGTAAAAATAAGCGATAAATTCAAAATACCCAAACGTCGTGCTTGTTGTCAATGCGGATGAGACGAAATTGTACACGTATAGTAATGTCATTGTTACGTAGGCGGGATGATAAATAGCAAGCCCAACCCATATTTTGTATAATAGCGATATAAAATCTCGTTAGTATTTTACTCATTGGTTCATTAGCTGCCAGTGTTCCAAATTTCAAATCGATCGTTTAATTTTTCTGTTAAAGATTGACATTTCAAAAAGCATTCTTTTGTTTTTTCTGCAAAATGGATAAAATTAAGCTACGAGCTGTGATAAAGTTTTTGCATTTAAAAGGATTAAAAGGTGGAGAGATTTTTTCGGAGATGAAGGATGTTTTGGGAAAAAATGCTCCTTCATATGCGACATAAAAAATTGGGTGGCTGAATTTAAACGTGGCCGTACCAGCACCCAAGTTGAACATCTTCCAGGACGTCCAAAAAGTACCACCACTCCAGAAATTGTGATCAAAATTCATGATGCAGTTTTAGCTAACCGAAGATTAAAACTTGACGAGATATCTGATACTGTAGGCATCTCTGAAGAACGGGCGCATTACATTTTGACTCAAGAATTATGTATGAAAAAATTATCCGCAAGATGGGTGCCGCGATTGCAATGCAAATGCAAATTTCACAAGTATGTTTGGACTGCTTTAAGAGCAAAACAACTGATTTTCTGCGACGGTTTGTTACTACAGACGAGACTTGGGTTCACCACTATATACCTGAATCAAAAATTCAGTCTAAACAATGGACGGAAAAAGGACCTCCGGCTCCAAAGAAAGCAAAAGCCGTGAAATCAGCGGGGAAAGTCATGGCGTCAGTATTTTGGATTCGAAGGGTATATTGAGATTACATTCCAAAAGGACAAAACATAAATGGCGAATATTATGCTGATCTACTGGATAATCTACTGGATCAAGTGTGTATTCGTGATAAAAGACCCGGCCTGGCTAGCAAAAAAAAAAAAATATTTCATCAGGATAATGCGCGCGTTCACACGTGCATCAGAGCGATGGCGAAATTCAAAGAATTAAATTATGATTTGCTACCACACCCAGCTTATTCTCCTGATCTAGCACCATCTGACTTTCATCTATTCCCTAAGCTCTATTTTTTTAGGTGGACAAAGATTTGAAAATAATAGCGATAAAATAATAGTCTGCCCTGGACAGTTATTTTGAAGGCCTTGAAGGTAACCACTTCAGGGATGGCATCAAGGCTTTAGAGCATAGATGGATGAAATGCATAGCGCTTAAAGGAGACTATGTCAAAAAATAAATATACTTTTAACACACTAATTCGAGTTTTTCTATGTAAGGCTATCTATTTATCATCCCGCCCTCGTACAAAGGGTTCACATCGATGCAATAACATGAATGTATTATAAAATAAACATCAGATTATAATTTAATTAAATTATGTTTTAAGTTTTTGTTTTTATTTCACCAATTTGGTAAATTAAATGATTATTTATAAAGGTTCATTAAAAAAACCGATTAGTTGTTAATCGACAGGAGTAATTAAATAATAATCACTCAAAGTCTATATCGATATAAAACGTCATATCTCATGTCGTTTTGACGTCACAATAAGCGCGGCAAAAAATCCAGCGTTTAAACACTTTCATCGTTTATTTTTACGTACACTGTGTTATCTTAATAGTATTTATTATTTAATATATTAATGTTTATGGTTTTGCAGAAGCGAGCCTCGTCTGATAAGTTTCCAAAAGGAGGGTTCGGTCGGTCTCCGGTTATGTGGTGGGAACAGATCAGGAGTCTTCGTATCAGGAGTTCAGCCCACAAGTCCTGCCGCGTTACAGGGGTTACAGCCAGCCGACAAAATACTTAAGGTACGAAATATTAAAAGCAATTTTAAGTTTTTTTATTATTATTTCTGATTAAAAACAAAAACAATAAATGAGTGTTAAAATTACTAGAAGACTAGTTAGTTCCATTTCATAAACAGGTATATTGTATTTATTTCAGTTTTATGAATACAAGGAGATTAATGTTATAATAATAGTAAGCAATTTTAAAAGGGTTTTTAGTGATTATATTATTCATTCATTTTACTAATTTTGTATAATATGGTGTAGCACGGTGTGGTCAGTAAGCTGAGACAGGCAGGTTTCTGATTGACCCAACTGTTAGGATTGTCTTTGGGTTACGGTTATTGTCGATTTTTTCCGCCATTTCGTGTTATGTAATGTTTTTATGTGTTTGTGGATCAATAAATGTGTAATTTTTGTTTTGTTTCAACAGGTTAACGATATGGAGATGAAAGGTGTGACTCGGGAGGAAGCTGTCTTGTTCTTATTGAGTCTCCAAGAGCGAATAGATCTTATAGTTCAGCATTCGCCTGACGAATACAACGCTGTAGCAAGTGGACAGATGCGTGAGTATCTACTGTTATAAAGGCATTTAAGGATGACGCGGTTAGCGCGTTCGATTTGCGATTGTAGAAGTTAAGTTATTTTCGCAAAGGTCGGTTATTGGATAGGTGACCCAAAATTTTTCTATTGAGAGCTTTTTCGTATTTCCGAAGGCTCGATAAGTTTTTGGTGCCGACTGCTTATGCACCTTTTAGTACCAATCTGCACTGGGTCTGCGTACAGGCTGCATACAGGAATCGATTTATGTTTTTAAGACGCTCGGGGCAAAATGTATTAGACCGATCACCGTATATATCACCAGCTTGCTATTATTGCCTATCGATGTCACCACTGTTAGGGCATAGGCTTTCCCTATTAATGGAATCGGGTTGAATAACGAGGATTAACTTATATCCATTGCGGATTTATACAACTGCGGATGCGACCGGTAACGATGACTTAACGTGCCTTCCGATGCATGGCGGAGTTCGAGATTATATATTTTTACTTCCGCATCACAGACCGAACGCGCTAACCACTGTGTCATGGAATTGCTTGATAATCAATCTAATTCGTCTTCTGAACAAGCTTATTTAAAAACACCATTTCGTACAGTGAAATGTTTATGTGATTTTTCTTGCTAGGGATAATTTTGCCGCGCTTATTGTTCGGATTGATGCCCTTTGGGCTTGCACAAACGTCGGTTGAAATTGTCAGTAGTTTAAAGCGACATTACCGATACAAATTACCAATTGTAGAATATTCATTAGAGCTAAAAGTGTCAACATCATCATCAGCCCTTTAATGCCCTTACTGCAGGGACTCAGGCCTACTTTATATATAGTATGGACCATAACCCTCTACGCTGGCCCAATGCGAATTGGAGCGTTTTGACGGCTGCATTCGTTGTCGGGACCAACGGCTTAACGTGCTTTCCGAAGCACGGAATAGCTCGAGATAATAATTTTTTGGTCCCACCCATGACCCATCCCGTGGCCGACCTTTGCGAAAGTTGCTTAGTAACAACGATCGCGAGCCCCGGCACTTATCCACTACGCTACCGAGCTACTTAAAGTCGTCATTAAACCTTAATAGACGTTTGTGCAACTAAGCTTGAACGCCTTAGATAATAATAATAAAAACTAATTGTTTCAGCCGGAGATTCATTTCATGTAAAGACCCATTTTCACTACACTGAGCCTACAGACGGCGAGATGTCATTCCGTTGCGGTGATGTGTTTCACGTAGTGGACACGTTACACAATGGAACAGTGGGCGCCTGGCAAGTTTACAGGATAGGTAAGTGATTGTATATATATGTATTTTAAGATTGGCTGTTTTCCCGCCGTTTCGTCCATTTGAATTATAGCTTATGTCATCAGTGTATGTTGTAGCTTCCCGTAGGTGAAAGAATTTTCATAATCGAATCGGTATTTCCGAAGGTTAACCCCTGGTATGTAATATTAGTATATAGATTTATCATCCGTATTATATATATTTCCGTAGCCAAGTGGTTAGCACTCCAGTTTCAACAGGTGAACTCACGGATTGGGATATGAATTTTCCTATATTGTCTCGTGTCTGGGTCTTCTGGCACCTCCGTTGTATATCATCCGAACGCCAACAGAAACTTAACTCGCCATAGCCAAATCAATTTGCTACTGTAATTATTTAAGGATAAATCTTCTTCTGTTTGGGCTAAAGAAGTCTTGAAATTGTACTCAAACAAACCAATTGTCGATATAAGTTGTACTTATTGAATAATTTGCTTGTTTGTATTGAAAATAGGCTCCAAAAATACACGACTGATTTTTAAAATTCTTTACATCATATAATATAGGCGTATATAATGTAGGCCATTTTTTATACGGGCGAAGTCATGGGAAAGCAGCTAGTAATGACGTATAGTTACTATTATTAGGGCATATAACATAATATTATTAAGGCGAACTATTACTACGTTACCACTTTTTAAACCAATTTTATTCCGAGTCTATGCTAATATTTGCCAAAAAAATGTATTTAACGTATTGCTTTAGATTTAGAATCATAAATTTCAATAATTTATTATTATATTTATTTACTGGAACGATTTACGACTACTATATTTCATTTTAACTAATATTATTGATATAATCTAAAATCATCAAAAGAGTTTTTTATAAACGCATTTGTTTTTTTTTCTGTGAATAAAAATGTATGATGTCAAGAGAGCTCGTCTTTATTCTTGATGCGTATTCGTAAGGGAACGTAAGCGTAGGTACAAATATCTTTAATATATTTTTATAGATTATGCATGTTCAATTAAGACAACGTTGAACTATTCGAAACCATGCTTCAAGGGTTGTAACCCTCGTGACTCTTGATTTTTACAGGTCGAAATAACCAAGAAGTCCAGAAAGGAATAATACCGAATAAAGCACGAGCGGAAGAATTAGCAACAGCACAGTTCAACGCTACCAAAAAGGAGATGTCGGGGAATGACGTCAAACACAACTTCTTCAGGAGGAGGAGATCTACGCATCGACGCAGCAAGAGCCTTGGCAAGGTAATATCGGATTGTTATTACAATTGTTTACTCCCTTTATAATTAGCGTAATTAACTGTCAAAATTGGTGAATTTGTGACTTGTAGGAGCATTCTTAATAACTTGCTTTCTCTTTCTTTTCTATTATTATTATTTTCTGTTTTATTTGTACAAAGTTTTATAGGAGTTTACTAGCCTCTTTTTGTTTAACTTTGTTTTTATTTGATATAAGTATTATTTAGGGCGAACGTCGTGCCCTCAGTTTTTGCACGCACAATAACTATTATAATCTAGCAAAGCGAACGTTTTCTATTTATTAAATGTTCTGGATCCCGCCCCATGATGAATATATTAATAAAAAATAATTAAAAAACTAGAAACAGGGTCGTTTTAGAGTTAATACATATTGTAACGATAAGCGATAGATTTTTTTAAATTACATTTATATTCGTTCCGATCACGTTGTATAAATAGTCTTTTATGGGTTTTAATGGAAACCTCAGAGTACTGTAACATTACATCGAGCCGCGATCTTTTGAACACCGCACCGGCTTATTTTAGTTGACAATAATAGTACAATATATCAACCATATAAAGCGTACTTATTTACGTAGTAACTCTCAAAACCAAAATTATTCTCAGGGAGAATTTACAGAGAACTTTATTTATTTTTAAAAAAGAAACTGGCTTATTCGTCTCCTTAAAGTTGTCATATATATTTTTACCATGAATGTTCGATTTTCTGGAAAAGGTAAAAAAGGTTTTGCTCTGAAGAACCATTTTGGTTTTACGGGTTACTACGTGTTTTCTTACTAACTTCAATATTTGATGTGACAGACTGTAGGCAAAAACGATTTGATATTTTCGTAAATTGTTGTGATTGTTAATAGGGATGATGAACTGGTAAAAAAAAATCTATTTAGCGCGTAAGTCAGATAATAGAAAAATATTATATACATATTGTAGTGAGGGCTCGCCACGTCACATTTTTTTAGAAAATATACAAAAGCGTAACGTTATGCCACATTTCAATTCAATGTGTCGCCATTATTAATTGATTATTTTTCAACAATCAACGTGACGAACAAATAAAAAAAAAGTAACAGCCTGACACGTGTTACAATTGGCCGGTACAGGAGCACTGGGACGAGGTGGTGTTATCAGACAGCATCAGCAAGTTCCCCGCGTACGAGCGCGTGGTGCTGCAGCAGCCGGGCTTCGTACGCCCGGTGATCGTGCTGGGCGCCGTCGCGGACATCGCCCGCGAGCGGCTCCTCACCGAGACGCCTGACAAGTTCGCCTCGCCCAGTGAGTCCTATTAAAAGGCCATACTATATTATCTCGATCATTGGGCCCTGTTAAAAGGCCATACTATATCATCACGATCATTGGGTCCTGTTAAAAGGCCATACTATATCATCTCGATCATTGGGTCCTGTTAAAAGGCCATACTATATCACCACGATCATTGGATCCTGTTAAAAAAGCCATAATATACCTAGGCTAAGTAACCTAGCCTCTTTCAGTGAGTCCTATTATAACATTTGACATTATACTACATCTAACATGAGATGCCATTCCTCACACGTTCAGTGAGTTCTATCAAATGAAATGAAAATATCTTTATTCAAGTAAGCTTGTTACAATCACTTTTGAATCGTCCAAAAATATTTTTTCCCCTACCACTTGTTCAGGATGTCTTTTAGCTGACAAGAAGTACAAGCGAAAGAAACTTACCAGCTCTTTATAATGTCATATTCATGTCAATTCAATTACATTTAAATACATTAATTTAATTCAAACAGCAATCATTAAATTACAATTTATTACTATTCATAGCATTCAATTCTATATACTCATTAATTACTTTCATTATTGATCCCTTCATTTTCCCCCTACATCCCCGTTCTGGTTCTTATAATGTTGTTTTCCTCGCCAGTTTACCCATACGTACAGCCATCTAACACATTTGGTTACAATTTAATGCGTACATTGTTCCATGTCATTTTGTTGTTCGCGCCTTTGCTCACTCCTAATCCTTGTTCATACTTATTGTCTTTTCTATAATTGGTCTCACTAGTGTCGAAAAATTTTCTCTATCCTCACTGTCGCTCATTATTAGTGCCAGATGTTCTTTGTTTAGTGTGTGTGTGTTTCATATTAGAATGTTATACTATTGTTCACCTCGCTCAGTGAGTCCTATTAAGTCGTATTAAAAGCCCTAAGGAGTCTGAAACTAAATAGAGGTCTAATATCACACAATCCATGCAGGCAGAAATCTAGTTTACCTATATATATTTTAATGTCAGTTATCTATTCAGAAATGGACAGCAATTTAGAAGACAGCAAGACCAAATCAGCGGGCATTATCCGTCTATCCAGTATCAGAACAATAATGGAGAGGGGGAAGCACGCCCTATTGGACATCACACCTAATGCAGTGGACCGGCTCAACTACGCTCAGTTCTACCCTATAGTCATCTTTTTGAAGGCCGATAATAAGCATATTATCAAACAGTTGAGGGCTGGTCTACCCAAGTAAGTCTTAATTTATAACTTTAAGTATATTAATCAAGTTATTTATACGCCAAATTTGCTCCACGCTTTCATTTATTATTTTTTTTAAACAGAAGAAACCTTTTTCGCTATTTATTTGGCTGCAAATTAAAAAAAAACTTATTTCAATAAAGAATTAGTGTTATTAACTGACAATGTATTCATGTAGGTCCGCGCACAAGTCTTCCAAAAAGCTTCTAGAACAGTGTCAACACATGGAGAGGGTATGGGGACACGTGTTCACGCACACTATCACACTGAGCGAGGCCAATCAGAACACCTGGTTCAGCAAACTAGTGGATCTCGTACAAATAACACAGCAGCAACAGTTATGGGTGTCTGAAACTAAGGTAAGATATGTTAGACGTTTTTTAAACCTTTTCTTTCAGTATACTAGTATAACTAGTATCAATGAAGAATACATACTTGTTACAATTAAGAGTAGGTCGACGGTAGAATTAATAAGATTTTTTGTCTTGTATAATTTTGATTAAGACAGTTTCAATAAAGCAACGTCTTCAAGCCTTTCTTGGATTTACTAAAACTTTCTTCAAAAGGTAATAAAAGTTTTATGTCGTTGAAAAGTATGAGATATACAGTATTATAACACAAGTCTTGTTGGCTCTACCGAAAAGCTAAATATGAAATAAATAAACTGAATTAAAATCATAGTAAAGTAAACAGCTCAAAAAGTTATATTAAAATCTATTGATTTGAAGCCCCACAGTGCTATTAATAAACAAGGCTTAGCGTCAGAGTAAATTTACGCTAAAATTGAAATATTATAATTAGTCCAAATTCATATTATACAGAGAATAAGCAAACCTACTACCTTCTACAAGTAAATGTTACTCCCGTAGAACTTTGTATAAGGTTAACCAAGTTTTCCAAGTCTCTGTTTAATAATATGAATTTTGACTTTTAATACTAAGTGCAGTCTCAGCGTAAATTTACTCCTACGCTAAACCTTATTTATTAATAACACTGTTAATGTTTTTCTAGTAGAGTTCAAAACCAATTGCAGATATTTGTTATTTTTGTATAATTTCTTGAGCTGCTATGGGTAAACGAAAGTGGTTAAAGATAATTCAGGATTTGGTGATATATTAATACACGGTGGTGGTTTATATATTTAATTGTTATTCCGTTTATTATCGTTATAAAGAAAAAGATTTTTTAGGTATTTTTATATTTACATTTATGTTTGTGTGGTGTAATTCTGTTATCTAAACGAAATAATTTCTGATTAATAGTTGAAACTATAATCAAAGTAAACTAAAAAAAAGACGATCGGCAGATTTTTTGTAATAAAGTCTAGAACTCGACATAGAGGTTCAAATAGAATCTTCTTCAAAAGGTAAAGGTTTAATTGAACTTCTATACTGTGAATCGCAACGCTGATTTTATAGAAGTATTTTATTTTACTATACATATTTATTTAATTGATAATGTTTTTCATGTCAGTAGTATTCAGGAAACAACTATTTATGTCAAACTATTAATTGTTTAATGTGTAATACAGTAAAATGCATCATGCTTCGCGGTGGTTGCTTGGTAAAGGAAAATTGGTGCAATTGGTAAATGTGTTCTTCATGAATAATTTTCTAGTAGTCCATTTAATATACATAATTAAAAAGTCTAGACACCTACCTTAAGTATTCGTATAATGAATATCGAATATGAAAACTAATCCCAAAAGTGGTGTCTTCACTTTTTGATATCACCCTAAAAAGAATAGAATTAACCTATTCGTTTCTTCTTGTCTTACGTACAGCACGTTGAAATGGTGTCGGACATATATTTCCCCATGCCTCCTTCTCCATACCCCGCATTATATCCAATATCCTACCCAATGAATTTCTATCCACAATCTCCCCAAAGACCGACCATACGTTCACCGCAGACTATGCCAGTCACTAACCTGAAAAGCACTAAACGTTTCGATCAAGTATACGATGCTAACAGAAATCATGTAGTACCATACTATTACTCAGAAACATTAACCCATTGTGTGCCAAATAACGTATACAGTGTGCCTAACAAAAACAGACATACCCTAGCAAACTATCCTTACGACGATAGACAACTTTATTACCAAAGGGCAAAGCTCAAAATGCAAGGTGTGAATAGTCCGGAGATATCTCAAATATTCGCCAAATGTAACGTTCACCAACCGCAATCATTCAGACCGTACAGTGTTCTCGAAACGACTTCCAAATCTCCAATACCTAATGTTCAAAGGCCTTCTTCAGTAGTTCCCACCTCGGATCAGTTTCGACCCGCGTCAGCTTTTTTTCCAAACCAGAATTTAGAAAAGAGCAAAGAGATACCGGAATGGAAAGCGCGTCTTCAGAAAGAAATGCCCAAACCAGTCTTTAAGACTAATGAAAAATCTTTACGGCAAATATGTAGGATTCCAAACTGCAAATGTCATATTAAACCTGTCGTTAACACGGAACGATTTAGTGAAATTAGAACTCTTCCAACTTCGTCTCAGAGGACATTAAGTAAAATCAAGAATTTGTCTCTGCCAACTTTAAAGTTAGATGAATTTGAAAAGGACAGTCTGAATGGTAGAGCAGAAGCTGAAAGAGATATAACGCCTGTTATTAGCAAGCCGATATCTGAACAGCATCTAGGGTATGTCTAGTCAGTAGTCATTAGAATTAAAGCAACTCCAAATTACCAATTAGAGTAAGTCTAACTTGCATGATGTGACTGTTTCGCTGTATGTATGTGTATATTTGCATGATGAGCGCTTATCGATTACTTTATTATTAAATTTAAAAATTTAATTGAATTTTTATTTATGACCAAACTTTTATGTTATATGTGTGTTTTGTTTTGTAAATATGACCATAAAGCAGTGTTAAATACCACTAAGTTTACTTTTAATTTTGACTAAAATCGACCTCCAATACTACGATATAGGATAATTACTTGTCTGATTTTTATTTAATCACTGTTATATTTATTGGAATTCGATTTTATAGTGTGTATAATTCGAACCCCATAATCATCACAGACGCTAAAACCGATTTATTTTTCTGTAAATTTTTTATCTGCGTTCATTCATTTGTCTTGTCTTGTCACCCCATTCCATAACCCACCCTACCGGACGCCGCTGCAAATAAAATGGCCGTCGTTCAAAATGGCGGATTGACACAAAATGGCACCGAGCAGAGGCCGGAGCCGTTGTCAGACGACTTTTTGTTCTCAATGTCTTCGAGTACGGAGAATCGTTTGTCTTACGCGTCAAGTCCGGAGAGTGATTTGGAAGTGAGCCCGCCGCCTGCTCCAAGACTAGTCAAGTCGTCCTCCGACCCATCTATAGCGACAACTCAAGATAACATGGATCGGGACGACGACATGGGACATATGGCCGACGCTGTCCCACCTCCTTACACGGTTGGTAACACTCATTGAATCTTACATCAACTTATATGTATTCCCACTTATCACTACGTCATTTATTACGAATACCATCACCACATCTAACATGATCCACTTTTTATTATTCAGGAGGGTTTTACTAAATTTGATTTTTGTAAATAAGTTTTAGATGTTTTAATTTACAATATTGAACATGTAATACATTGTTTGGTCCAAAAAAAAATACAGATATTACTTTTTTTACCTAAAAACAATCATTATTTTATATGTTTAACTGACAAAGACATTATTTTGGGGTTTAAATCGAATTAAATTTATTCTACTCCTATTAATATTGTTTCAGTTTCAGAATTTGATTTTGAGATTAAAAATATAATGAAATTTACGAAATGTACTTTCTAATAAAAAATCTTTAAATGTGAAAAAAAGTACTTTCATCGCACAATCGCAGCCAATTCATACTTTTTTTCATAAAAACAGACATAATGATTATTTTTCTCTGATTTTCTATGTAAAAACATATTTTATTCTATGATGTGAATAAGTATGGGAGTGAAACTAGTAAAACCTGCCTTTAAATGAATCAACGCTAATTTTCCACGCTGATTGTGAACGCTTTAACACAATATGGTATTAATATTGTCTCATTTATATCTCACTGCAATGTCATGCGACTTTCACACGAATTAACAGAATGAACTCACTCAACAGCAGGGAGGCTACGGGGACAGCAAGTACGGCTTCTCAAACACTAACGGCACCAACAATGGGCACGATGCACCCCCGTACCATGGTAGCATGACGCATTCGCCACCACACTCTCCATTGTATGGCACCGTACCCGAGTTGCCCCCTCGTGGAACCGTGAATAGGCCTACTGGAGGTGTATTGTTACCGGCCCCACCTCCTGGAAGACCACCTCATTCATTGAGACATAATCCACCCGTAAGTATGCTAAATATTTTGAAAGTTTAAGAATTGTTAATGTTGTGTATTCTCAATAAACTTTATAATAAAACGATAGTTTATTTGATGAATTTTAAAGATTTGCTAACATATAACGTTCACGAGTTTAATATAATAACGACTATTTGAAAATTCTTTTTTTAGGGTTCCATAGTAAACAAGGAATTCTTATAGTTTCGCTATGTCCGTCTGTCCGTCAGTCCTTCCGCGGTTTAACTCAAAAACTATTCGTACTAAAAAGTTCTAATTTGATATGAGTATTCAATAATTATAATTGATCAATTTTGCATTGACAATGCTTTACTGAAAAATATTTTTAATGAAAAATGCTTAAAAAGACTACTTTCTCCCTGGCCTATGAGATTGGACTTGAACCCACGACTTTTAGCAATCCGGGCGAGTGCTTAACCACTGAACTACCTAGGACCTAACAGGTTTGTCGAAATTTTCAAGCACTCGTTACTTTTTCGTTACTACAGAGCGTATTTTCATCAATGTTCGCGCAATCCACCCAAAAATTGATCAAATATAATAATAAGAACAAATTTTCATCTTTAGCAAAAGTTATTACGTATTTAACTTCGTACGTTATGAAAATTTCGAACAATTCCATAGAAAACAACAAACATGATTTTTTAAACTTTTTATTGTTGGTACGGAATCCATCGTGCGCGAGTTCGACTCGCACTTGGTCGGATTTATTTACAACATTTCTGAATGATTCTCACCATACTGATTATTGATAATAAAATTTTATTTAAAAGAATGTAACAGTTCAAAACACTTATTGATAAATAATAACTAAAATGTTATGATAATATGATAAAGCTAACGCTTCGCGTGTTTTAGGCGAACTAAGTAATTATTTGATAATGAATATATTTTGCTGAATTGTAGTAGGAATGCACGGTCAATGTCTAAATTGCAAAACGAATTTATTCGCATAAAATAGCCTGTAATATGTGAGTGTGTAATGACAACATAAGCTAACCGTTAAATAACTGATTACAAAAGTTCTTAATTACACATAATTGTTATTTATTACAAATTTATTTAAACTTCGTAATTAGCTGTCCATTAATATAGCTTGTTATGATGAATAAATCATCGAGCCAATAACCATTGGCTATTGAAGCGTGTCACTCAATGGACGATTAAGCGTTTGGAATTTTAATACGTACATACGATGTATTTTGCAAACACGAACGATGTGAACATAGATATGATGGTGAAATTTTTCTCATTATTCTGTTACAACTGTTTATTTTCGAGCAGCAACTGTTCAGTCATAATCAGCCTTACTTATAAACGTCGATTAAAATTAAGAGACTGCTAAGCAATTCATTAACAACAAGCTTTACTTATAAACGTTCATTAAAGTTAAAACGCATCTTAGCAACATTTTCACTTTTAAAATATCGCGCTGCATTATTCACAGAACAGATAAAAAGGTTAGAATGATAACGTACTAACATTAGTACTAGGACCGCGCGTGCCAGATATCACACAGACATAAAACTTCACCTATTCAGCTCACAAAGAAAGCGATGCTTCCATTGGCTACAAAAGTTTCAGCAAAATTAGTATATACTAGCCTATTAATACAGGTGATTTTACAGTAATACACAAAATGTATGGCTAGCTATAATAAAAATTTGCACAATTACTTTTGTTAGTTCTAAATATTATATTTTGTGCGCGAATATTAAATTAGTTAATGTGTAAACATTTGAAATACATGTTTCATTACATAAAAATGTTATTGCACGACGTATCTCCATTAAAACAATTTTTCAAAATATAATGCAAAGAATTTTACGCTTCTGTCAACACTGAAATAGTGAAGTGCCCTGTGATTCACAATTTGATATCGATAATCAGAAAATCATTGATATATTGGGTTAATATAATAAAATAATTTATTAATTTATCATTTCGCATATTCACGAAAAAAAAAATCCAATGAAAATAAATACCATATGTATGTAATCACTTCACAATGATTGTAATCAACTTTCACTTGAAACGGCTCGATTAATTACACCAATTCCTATCTTGCTAAAGTAGCAATGTAACTGCGATTTTTGTCAGTTTTAATCAGAAGTAGGCTGCAACGGGGTCACATATCAAGAGCAGGTGACAGTGATGATAATTTGGCCCTTTGGGGGCTAGATTTTCATAATTTGAATTAGCATTTTTTCTATTATATAGTCATAGTTTTATTTTTTGATACCTAGCTAATTTTTTTTTTGTATATTTAATGATCCATATTTTTTTTACTAACTAGGTATTATATGAAGCACAATATATTAAGAATGGAAAATAATAACAAAGATGTCTCATTGAAACTATATTTCAATAATATCCCAATATAACATTAATTTTCACAATATAATCAGAAAATTAGATCTAATACATAATATTTCATTATAAATTTGTAAGTAATTTATCATATTATTTAATATTAATGAAATCATTTACAGAAAAATATGTTGAACAAATGTAACTAGTTTTAGAAGGAAACCATTGACCATTTCTATCACGCGTCAATCCACTTTTCTTTTATGTCGGGGTTTCTAGGAAAACTGAAACATACAATACAAAACTCTTTATTATTCACATTACACAATGAATTACAAAATTTAATAGTAAATTAACTTTAAATAAAAAATTAACACTATTATGTAGCAAAAACATACAAATCTCTACAAATTTTCTGTTAACTATTTATCTTAATAGATTTAATGTTATAATTGCATGTAAATTGATTGCCATTCATAATATTAGGGTTAAGTACTATCGATAGCATTTTATCGATATCTGCAAGCACTATGTTAACAACTGACACAATCTCACGGAAAAAAAATATGATTATATCTCGATATACTGTTATATATGCAATATTTTTTACTTACCGATGAAATGAAATTTCTCCTTTTTTCAGAATTACATTTTCATTACGCAAACGACTCGTAATAACGGCACTATTCGGCATATTTTCGTATTTTTCGACGCACCATAGACCACTATGACATTGTGCAAATAATAAACTGCAAATTTGAGTAACATGACGTTCATATGACCGTTTTGGGCATATGGATGGTCGCACGACCCCGCCCACTTAATCGTTCTACCTTTTTATCTGTTCTGTGGCATTATTACATACTTCTAATAACAAGCCAGTGTAAAAATCGCGTCTAATACCCGTTATTAGAAGTATGCATCTTAGCAACGTTTCAAATAGCTGTCAACATAAGTAGCGTCGCAATCTATTTTGAGCGTTTATTAAGGTGTTAATTACTACAATGGCGGATCTTTGACAGCTGATCACCTAGTAACCGTACCTATGTTATCATGTAATGGATTATATAAAAAATTTATTTTGGCTTCAATTTAACAAGAAATGACAGATATTAGGCATTAAAGTTGAGGTTTAATGATTGCACAAAAAATACGTGTATAATATTCTTCAAAAAAATTTCTGACGAACAAACAAAAATTAGTCATCATCCATAATACCTACCGAAAATGATTACTTAAGTTCGTTCTTGCAATGATTTTGACAACAATGACGTTTCTTTTACTTTAATTCCATAGTATGACGCATCTTCTGGCGGGATTTTCTTCCAGTATTTGCAGAATAAAAGTATAGTGTTATTTACCGTTGACTAGTTAACAAACTCTTAAGTAGCGTTTATAAGTAAGAAATATGTAATGAATACTTAAGTAGTGGTTAGTTAAGCTGATGCTACGACGTCGATTATGTGATTTTTATAAGTATCACATAATCGACGTAAATTAATAGTATGGAGCTGATGCAATTTTTTTAATAAATGGTCCAAGTTCGCGGAATATAATGAAAGTTTTATCCTAAGTTTCCACTTCATTTCGGAATTTATATTTATTTTAAAAATAAACTGGTGCTAAAAATCTAGCTTCACATTTATAAGTTGTGACAAAAGGCATTGACTTATTTATTTAATCCTATTAATATTATAAAGGCGAAAGTTTGTAAGTATGGATGTATGGATGTTTGTTACTCTTTCACGAAAAAACTACTGGACGGATTTGGATAAAACTTTACAGCAATATAGGTTATACATCAGAATAACACATAGGGTACTTTTTACTGGGAAAACTTCTCACTCCCACGGGATACCGACTTCCACGCGGACGAAGTCGCGGGCGTCCACTAGTTTTAATATAAACATGGCGGGAATTTTTTTTTTTTTTTTTTATTCAGCAAAACGAATACAAATAATTTAATATATCAGAACGGTACAACATAAACTTACAAAAGTTTTTCCATGTACCGCCGATTCGCACTCAAACACATGAAGCATATATAGGTGTTTAATTGTCACAATATCATAATATTTGTAGAAAATCGACCATGTATTTTATTTTGATGGTATTTGTTTAATTTACTAGAACAATCGACCGAGTGCACAAGAGCGTTTGTTCGGACCACCCAAAGAGGCGGGCAGTGACGAAGCGTCCACATACAACGCTCGTCCCACCAGCATGATAGTACAAAGTACACAAGGGCAGGGCTCCTTGGATAGGCATCGACACCCATCGAATCCGGTAAATTGTACTATAGCTTGGTACTTATTTGACGCATTTATTATTTCATATTATAAGCAAGATTTGATTATAAAACCCCTTCTACAGTAGACGGCCATGAACACTGCCTCGAAGTATTTCTAGGAATCTTAAGTTTTATTAATTGACTAATGAACCAATGATGTTACTATAAATAATGGTAACTAAGGAAAGATCCTTGGATAAATGAGCTTATTTTTTATAATATTAATATGAATATTATTTATTCATGCCAAAAATAAACGTACAATTTAACAGTACGTATAGGTAAAAATTGCGTCGAAGTATTAATTGTTATGTAAGGCACAACTGACCCTAATAGGTTATACAAATTTTTATTGACCTTGGAAGTGTTAAGGTTCATTTTTGTTTGTACAGCAAAGTTCATACGACGGCACACCCTCATACGACTACAGTAGTTCCAACAATGGTTCAGCTATGGGCTCCTGTAGGCTACCACCGAATGCACCTGATGATCTCAAAGTTGCTCCACCACCTGCGTAAGTATATTCATAATATATCATCATTTTTCGATTTTGATTTTAATTGGTGGGGAACTGCCCTTCCTGGATAGAATCGAGTAGGGAGAATGGACCATGATCCACCAGACGGGCCCAGTGTGGGTAGGTGGATATAAACGACTGCAGATGCAACCGGGACCGACATCTTAACGTGCCTCCTGAAGCACGAAAGAGCTTGAGACAACGGAATACTTTATGTAAAATTTGTCATTTTTTTTCCAGTAAAATGGAACCACCGCCTCCTCCAAATCCCACAGTAATGTCCGCACAAAGTCCACAACGGAATTCCAATTCGCACGAACACAATTCACTGGATTATAGAAACAATGAAAATAATTACAGGTGAGTAGATTTATATTTTTAAACGTATTAGTGATAGTCATAATCTGCCCCCCTTACTCTCGAAAATTAAACATTGCAATTGTGTCTTTTTGTACTCTTGATTGGGTACATTAGCGCCAGGGTATGCTCATGAACCAATGAAGAATGAGAGTTAACCAATACATCAGAAATTAACCACATAATGTTTATTACAGTAAACGTAAATTAATACATTTTTTTTCTGGTTGTGTTTAATGTAATATTAACGATAGCCACACTTTTATACTTATTATTTTTACAATATTGCTTAAACTAATTATGAAAAAAAACAAGTAATTTATGCTCGTTGTCATGTGAATGCAAACAGTGCGTGACGTCACGCCCTTCTTGAACTTAACCTTATGCACGCATAGAACGATATTAGTTTTAAAGGGGTGTCAGGGGCGTGACGTCCTAGCGATGCTATGAAAGAAGTTGGCGTTTTCGCGCCAAATTTTAAAAATTAAATTCATTTTTAGTTTTTAAATTATAATATGAATGATACTTTTATATATATTTTAAGTATATCTATTAAATACAAATATAAAAAAGTCGTCTAGGCCCCTATTATTATGAGTTTAGGAAATGTTTAAACAAAAAAAGTATTTCAGAAAACTTAACCTAATATAATGCTTAACATGACTTTTTGGTCATCCATCCTAGGCTGGTTCTTACTGCTCCTCTTCAATAAAACATCTTTAGGCGAAAAGTCACTATTCTTCAATAAATGTATACATTTACTATAGTAATAAAGCGTACATTCTGTATTATACCTTATAAGAAATTTTAAACTTAAATACATTCACATAATGGTTATTTTATGCTGTTTCAATGCTACGGACAGGTCGCAGGATAACTACAGGAGTCCACAGTCGAATCGTCCGCCGCCTGTGAATGGGAACAGTCCACACACGCCGATGCACGCGCGGGGTCCATCGCTGCCCAATGTACCTTGCAACGACCATGCCAAATATAGGTATGTATTCAAAATTAAACATGTATAATGGGGATGATGAACATTTTTTTTAATCAGATAGGGGAAATGAGGGCAAGATGGAAGCTCTAACTTTGTGTAGTAATAAATAGAAATGTACGTGGTTTAAGTCTTTTATTTAAATAGTTCTTGAAAGGTAATTAAATAATGAAAACTAATTTCTAATTAATAATAACTATATTCTTGTCAAAAACAAGTTATAACTCGTAAAGTTACACCCTGGGCGATTTGGAATATATAACATAAATTTAAGTTTTAGCAAAAGAGTTATTTCTTACTTATCTTAAGCAATCAAAAGAGAGTATTTTAAATGTCCATATACCAGTCGCATGAACGTCACATATCACGCGTAATGCTGTTTCACTTATGCCGCTGAAATGTGAGCGGGACAATCACACTTTATCGGGTGTCGATAAGAGCGTCCATTTTAAACGTATAATAAAATATGTATTTATTTATAAAGCAGCGGACGTACAAACTCGGCGTCTCAAGCGGACTATGGTGGGCGAGGGGGTGCTCCCGTGCCCCCTTATAAGCCCGTTCCGCCCCCCAAACCGAAACATTATCGTCCACCAGATAATCCACCACATCATCCTAGGAATGGGGTAAGTTAAAACCAATATATTCGTAGCTATAAGTTTGATTTTCTTTTGTAGCCAAACTAGACATTGCTTTGTTGTATCCGAGGTTCGATCCTTTATGCTTACCACCTATCTGAAAGCCATAACGGAAGCGAGAGGCCAATATGAGGGTTTTTTTATCAATTTTAAAAATCTTTCTAAGGATTCGATATTTGCTACACAGTTATAACAATTAATTATGAAATATGTTAAATATTGTAACTTAATGTAAACTAACGATTTTCTTTTTGTAAATTGTGAGAATATTAAATAAACTTGCTATTTATATTTTGTTTATAGCAAGTACCGAAACGTATGCTATTACTGAGTATCGTGTGACGTCACTTTTTAATAAACATAATCTATTGATGCGAACGTTAACATAATAATAAATATGATATGATATAATAAATAGTTATTTAAATTTATGTTGATCAGAGATTTAACAAAATGGAGAGCATATAAAATTCAAATTATATATAAAAGCTGATAGTGCGAATCTGCCAAAAGCGCTCACGCGCCAAGGGTCTACATAACAAACGGTCTAACTGAACATATCATATATATGTCAGATCAATGTATATTTATTATTATTTATCGTTGTAAGGGGCTATGCAGTTCCCTGAGGAACTGTAGTCACTGCGACCTTGAAGATCTATTGTGACTCGCCGCCATAGCTCAGATCAATGTATAACGAAAATACATTTTATGTGGGTGAACCGTGCGAGTCACTCAGCCACGGAGGTTGCATGTATAAATATATGTCGCAGCATTAGCATAGTGTGGCCCTATCGAATGTATAAATCTGTCCTTGTAATAACCTGAATTGATTGTCATTACTAAAGCCATCTATCGAGTTCACTCGTAACTTATGATCGAAAACGTCAAGTGAATACTTGGGTAAGGTCGATACAGCACCGTTGGTTGCTCTGTGTTTTTTTTTGACGTTTTAGCGGAAACGGAAAGGGAAATGGACGTTGGATTATTCTACGGTTGTGAGAATTATAGACGAGTATTATTTTGACGCGCTGTATCGAACTTACCGCGTTACCGAATAAATCCATTTCTACCGATGTGTTCTTTAAATACTTAGCTACGATTGTTTGTTTATCGAAGAAATACACGTGTGTGATTGTTCGAAAGACTATTATTTAGTATTTCCAAAGATGTCTGACCCTTTTGATAACGAGATTGGTAATCGCCCTCCGTTATATATATTTATATAGTATAATTGTATTATAACAATAGAGCATGGACCCGGCAGCGGCGACGCCCCCCCGCGCCCCTCCCCCGGGCTCGTACCCCCCTCACCCGCAGTACTCACACCAGCATTCACATTCACAGCCAGCACATCGACCACACAATAACTACCATCAGGTCAGCATACTATAGCATTATCAACTTTATAACACAGGTTAAGCAACAACTGGTCATCACGTGTGTGATCATTCGAACATTTGTAGGATTTTTTACGGAATAAAAATGAACGAGATATATTATGTTCTGAAGGATTTTTATTTGATTATAATGAATGTGGGATTAGTACAAACTATTTTCATAGACGCAAAATCACAGATCTTCGTAGCGCTGAGCAAATTATTGACAGTCCTTGGCAATAAAAAGTAAATAAGTAAGATTTCACACTATTTAGAGAAGTGAATTTTAATTAGTAGATCATCATCACCAGCTTATTGATGTCCACCCTTCTTGGGCTCAATCCTTCCCTATGAATGGAATCGAATAGGGAGAATGGGCCATGACTCACAACGTGGTCCCAGTGTGGGTTGGTGGGTGTTAACGACTGCAGATACAGCCGGGACGAATGTCTTGATGTGCCTTTCGAAGCACGGAGGAGGTTTAAATTATGATTTTTTGGTCACAAAACTTGGTTAACTGTATTGCAAATCGAGTTCTTTCTTATTATTTCGCTTATGTCAAGTTTAATAATTAATAATTGTTTCATACAGCAAAATATGTACGGTGGTCAAATGGCACCGCAGTCGCCGCCGTATTCTGGTCCGCCATCTCATCACCGAGCTATAAACCTGCCCCATAACCCGCATCTTATAGGCAAGTACAAAAAGTATATGTTCTTAAAGTTTTTATATTATGAATCTGTCAAAATATTGAAATCTCTAAAGCTACAATAGAAAAAATATATGTATTTATGAGTATGAATTTGCACATTTATAACATTAATGTGAATGTAGATAAGTTCAAATGAAACCGTTTTATTTACACAAGTTTTGTTTAATTTCTTTCATCGTCCATACCGATTATGTGCGTCAGTTTAAAATCAACTGCAGAAAATCATTTTATGGTACAGTAACATAAAACTAAAGTAGTTCATTGATACGCAAAATGTAAAATTTCGTGATGAGTGAGAGTGAGACGGACATGCTTTGTATTTTACATCTTATAGAATTGGTAGATCCGTTCTGCGCAAATAAAATTCTACAAGCGTCATATTAATTGGAACTTACTTGTAATCTGCGGTACTGCTGTGTGCACAAATTGCCACAATAAATATTTTGTAAAAGAGAAAATATGCTTTTGAAACTCATCCAAAGTTATTATTTAGTACAAATCTGATAATAATAACAAAAATATTGCAAAACCAACACATGTCATTGGTAGTGTTTTAATTAGCTACCACTTCCTCCAGATTTAGCTGGCAGCAGAGAGCAAAGAGGATCTGCGTTCGAACTATACAGAAAGCCTCAGCACATGCATAATTTAAGGTAAGACGTCTAGATTAAATATGTGTACACAATTTAGCCAACGCACCACTATGCAGGCTATAAAACACTTTAAATGTACTTACTATAGAATCTATTTTTGTGTCAATAATAAAAAAAGGAAATTATACTTAAAAAGAACTCCGTAATGCATGTTTCCAGATTTCAGAGCGCCCCTTTTCAAATTATTTTTGTCTCTTTCTTTCTCATTCAGTCCCTGTACAATTGCTCTAACATGCAAACACCAATCGCTTCTCAAACGACTAACAATGTCTTGTCGGGCCACATTTTAGTATGGTTTTTGTATATGGTTATAAATTTTATACATACATAATATATTTTGTAATATATATCTCGGAAGTTAGTTTGTAAATTGTTATAACATATTGTAAACTAGAGTATTTAGAGTTGTTCATAAAAACAACTATTGGCAGTGCGTGTCTGCATTTTAGTGCAAATTGATTTCAAAGAAAGCATATTGAATTAATTTGTCATCTCTTTCTTTAATCGCCTTCTCATTATCTATCCACTACATCTCTCTACTGTTGTTACTATATTTATTGCGTTTGATTTTTTTAACGTTTATATAAACATATTTATTTCAATATGCTTTTTCAGAAACACTAAATTCATATTTTGATAATATCATAAAAACCACTTCAGACGATTCAATATTTATGAATTACGGATAAAATATAATATGATAAATATGTAGAAATAATAATGTACCAAACATAAAAGTTGTTACGGAACATTATCCTATAGGTATTGATCCGCACGAATTGTCTGAAGTGTATTTAACAGTCGTTCAGTAACTAAGTGGGTTATTTGGTTGTGGGTTTCCGCAGTTCTTCCGAAGTCATGAATTCAAGCGTGGAGCGCGACGAGTCGTTCTCACCAAAAACTAAAAAGAAATTATCGAAAAAACCATCGTTCATTAAGAACGCAGTACTCGATCTGTTCCGTTCGAAAACGAAAAGTTCGCAAAAAGTATCTCGGCAAAAGTCACTTTGCGAGAGTGACTTACAGCAGAGACAGTTGCCTAATATGCCTATGTTAAGACGAGAGAAGTCCGATGTAAGCGATTTAAGCATACATATGAGAAATACGCAAATCAGAAATCAAATGTTGCAAAGAAGCACTTCATCATGCGAAAAACCCGTATTGAAACCGATACTAAAACGGCAGAGTTCATTTTGTGATGAAAGAAACGGGTCCATATGCACAGTTAGAGATTATGACGCTAAACCTGTGGTAAAAGGTCTTCTAAGGCAGAATTCCATGTGTGACATAGAAACAGAACCGAAAGTTACCCCGTTGTTACGTAGACAGAACTCTATGATAGAATACAATAGAAAAGGTATTTATGGACAGACATATAGCTTTAATATGATAACCAAAATAGACCCAATTTACCAAAGACAGCAGCAAGTGAAACATGAACCATTCCATCCTACCCAGCCTTTACCTCCAGAACCGATATACCAAAGTAAAGAACACGTTATATACGATCCTATTCCAAAGCCAAGGAGAACTTATGCCTCATTATATGATACTTCAAGTGAAAACCCTTATGCCACTAGATCAGAAGCATCTAATACTAGTTATGAAAATCCGTATGCTAACCGTCAAACTATGGCTATGCCTCTAATGGATTCACCTTATGGAAGTAGAGTTGAATGTGTAAGTGAAAGCCCTTACGCGACTAGAGCTGATTGTGTAAGAGAAAACCCATATGCCACTAGAGATGAGTTGGTGCCTGAGAGTCCTTATGGTACGATAAAACAGGACGTTAGTAGGCAATCAGAATCCTTTTATAATGAGTCACCTTATTCAAGTAAAGAGCAAATGCTTAGACAAAGAATGGTATCCGAAAGTCCCTATTCGACTAAGGAAGAAATGTTACGTCAGAGGTTCTCAGAATCGCCATATAATACTAAAGAGGAATTATTCAAACAAAGAAAGGATAGTTCCTTTACGTCAAAAGAACCGAATCATGGCAAAAGAACATATGACCCTCCTCCGAGTACATCATGGACGGAAAATCCTTACAGCGTAAGACCTGAAAGAAGGTTACAGACCCCTCCTGTCGTGTATACTAGTAGGGTTTCACCTATGGGCAAATGTATGAGTGAACCACCCTATGCCACTAGAACAGAAATGATGGCTAGGTTATCACAAACTGAATCACCATACGCTACAAGGTCAGAAGTAAGATCTAGTTGTTCAGAAACACATTATAGTAGTAGGCAGGAAATTTCTGAAATTAGTCACGATATTCGACCTGCTTCAGCTGAGTGCACTTATGTATCCAAACAAGAAATATTATCGCAAAAAGCAGCCTTTCAAGCTAGCAAGGAGTCTAGTTACACTATAAGATTAGAAGAAAAATTAGAAATCATTAAACAAAGAAATCAAGCAAAAAAGGATATGATATATCAGTCAAGAAAAGAGGCCAATGAAAGCGATACAGCTAAAATGAGAGAACCTTTGTATGTATCTAAAAGAGAATTAAAAGAGAGTGTTATTTACGAGTCTCAACAAGAGTTAAAAGATGCAGCACAAGCTTTGGTCGAAGAAGAAGGTAGTGCTCGCAGTAGTCCATATGAATTAAGTGATGCTAATCATTTGTCTCGACGTGAACCAGTATATCAAACTAAAGCCGAAGTGCAAGGAACAATAGACAATGAAACATTCCAAGAAATAGATTTTTCGAAACTGAGATTAACTGAATCAAAAACGGACGCGGAGAAAGAAAAATCTCTTAATGTGGAATCCAATGTATTAAAAGGAGAACCAATATTTGCACCTAGACTTCACGGTAAAGCTGAGCATATTTCTAGCGCATTAAAATCAACCACAACACCAGTACCTTATGAATCTACAACATCTATTGAAACACATTACGCTTCTGAATGCAGTATGAATTTCGAGAATAAGCCACAAAGTACTCCTTATGCTTCACAAGATTTACAGGACCGCATACCCAAACCTAATAGGACAGTAACTTTCTGTGAGCAAATATTAGAAAGAAGTCAAGAGACAAGTCAGGAAAATTCTGAAAATACTTCTAACAGTCAAAATGAGACAACCGTCTGTCAAAATACAGTTATAAACAATGACACGAACGCAACAGGGGTCAAAGTGGATGAAGTTCAACCTGACAGTCCTCATACTACATGGGGTATATTCGATAGTGAAGGGGGAATACTTGAAGATAGGCAATGGGGTGTCTCCTTAATAATACCTCCAAAAGCAATTGCTCCCGGCATCAAGCAAAAAATTTATTTTACGGTCTCAGATCCAAGATTAAGCCAACGAGTGGGGGGACCGCCCATCGATATGGACAATGGTAAAGCTTTTATAATGAGGCACGCTGTGTAGTGTCGTAGATTTGCACTAACTAATTGGCTATTAACATTTGCTGGCTGAGCACAAGTGAATATGGCATCAATAGCCTAAATATGGGGTTTTATGTGACAGCAAATTTGATTATTTTGTAATAGAAATGGAAAAGAATTGTGTTATGTACAAAATAGTGCACGCTTTTGAATATAGCATGCGCACATATTCCAAACGTTGATGTAGAAAAAAAAAAATGTCTAGATTACCTTTATATTTGTATATAAAAAATGATTGTAGTAATATTTATATATTATAATTCGATGTATTGATTTTATAGCATGTGACCACATTTATGTCATGTTTCAACATTTATTTATTTTATTTTGTTGACTGGTGGCAACTAACAGTGGATCTAAAACCATTTTTTAAATTTACTACAGCTTCTACCACACAATACACTCATACTTAGAGATTGAGGAGAGAAGGCAACGGAGGCTCTGCTACGTTCAACCAATTATTTGATCGTATGTTCGAACTATTTGTTTTGTGCACTGTAAATAGTGATGTGCATAAATTTGCTGTTACTCTTGTTTGATCTACACCGTTTTATTTACCAATTAACATTTTAAATTATCACAATACTCAATTCTTCGTCTTTCGTGATCCTAATTTGAGTAATTTCTGAAGTTTTTTTGTAATTCGATTTTTATATGTTTCTGAAAACATCTAACTCCTTTGCCTTTAAATAGTTATTTGTTTTTTTTTTTTGTTGTCTTTATTGCATGTTATTAGTCTGTATGCTTTGCTTGCTAACAATTTGCGTCTGATATTGCGATTTGTGTTTGTGTGTTGAGTTCTTAAATATTAAAAAAATCAATAATACCTAAACTATCATAAAAACAGCTCTCTAATTTAAAAAACTGTCGTGTACCTTAAAGACAGTTGATATTTCCATATTTTACATCCAATGCTCTTAGCACTTATTTCTAACTACTTAATAATATTCACAATATAAAATATTTTGCACTTAACTTTTGTTGGTATTTTTTATAAAAGTTTCAACATTTTTAACTTTTAAAGGAAATATTAGAACCAAAGATCGAAATAGTAAGATTATAATCACTTAATTTTTTTTATGAGAAAGAGAGAGGAGCTGCCCCTTCAGTTTTCTTTAAGGCTTATATATATATTTTTTAATTTGCGTACGATATATTTGTAATTTACAGTTATGGTCGTTTGCCCACTTCATCGTATCAAATAATCAATTAGCTATTTGTTTCATGACTTTAATGGGAATGTTTAAGGCAAAATCTTTATATTGAATGGTACGAGACGATACCTAGGTACTATTCCGACTATTCCTTCACCGACCGATACCGAAGCGTGCCATTTGTATTTTGTTTTGTGCTCATAACGGTCTAGTACGTGTCGTCTCCTATTATTCAATACAAGGAATATCTTTTTTAGAACTGCTTACATATAGGTGTAAAGGGCGCATAGCAGATTGTATCGTTTTGTTTGAAAAATAAAGATCATAGTATACAAATTAAGGGAATGAGAAAGGTAACAGTAAAAATGGCGCTGTAGCTTCATCAAAAAGACAAAAAAAAAAAATTGAAAAGAAAAAAACAACGGTCTCTACTCTTGTTAGGTAAAACAATTTTTTTTGACGTCATCAAACATGACGTCATATTTGACGTTTTAATAAGAGTAAGTAGTAATAGTAATAAGCCTTGACTTGATGCCTATAGTTTTATTGATACATTTTATAATCAATTAGCTATTTGTTTTTGTGGTTATTTGATTGAGCTATATGAAAGCAGAAGCTACACAACGCCATCTACGATTAACTTTGACTAAAATAAAAAGTAAATAACACCTAGACGGTGTCATTTATTTTTATTTTAGATTCGATAGTGACTTTTAAAGAAAACGTTGATCGACAGACTACCATGGAAATAGACAAATTTGAACACTTCCAAGTCTTATCACAGCGAAAAGTTTAAGCAAATATGATACTCGTTTTCGACCTTTGGTTTTAATTTGCATATATACAAATACCAACACTTAATTATTGCAAATAATTTAACATTTCTTTAATATATGTATAGGTGAAGCGATGCTGTCTCCACTCGTGATGTGTGGCCCTCAAGGCCTCGTTTTCTTAAGGCCGGTGACGCTCCGCCTCCCGCACTGTGCCAACGCCGTGCCTTCCCTAGGTCTCACTATTAAGGCCACAGACACCGAAGCACATCTTAGCACTGATTGGGATCAGATACATTTACCCGCCACCACTACATTGAACACTGTTGCCGTTAAAGTTGACCATTTTTAATTGTCTATGGTGATATGAAAAAATATCAATAACTTTCTCTATGAAACTGGCTGTGTTACCAGATTTTAAAAATATAATGTATTTTAAATGGAAAGTTAATATAAATGAATTGATGATTGGAATTAATGTGAACGAAAAAACGATATATCGGATTTATGGACATAGAGCTACTATACTATAACATGAAAAACATATTGCTGACTATAAGTGAAAATGTAACTCTGTAATAAAGAAAGAGAAGATACACAGTAAATGATTGTCTCTTTCTACTGACTAATTCATAGTAAAGGACGGCTTTTTAAGCAAACCTTGAAATCGTTCTACTATGCTCCAATTCCACGCTTAATTACGCATGCGAGAGTAGAGCAAGACAGATGTTGGCAATGATATTCTCTCTCATACTAATCGAGTAACGCTTTGAAGTCTGGCTCACGTGTTCTAATGTAGTAGCTCTTTGTTTATAAAAATGCATAGATGTTTTTATGATCAACATGCTTGTTCATTATCTATATGTTGAGAGAAGTGAAGTTTGTATATATAAACCTTTATTTAAAAAACGGTACCATAAACAACATTATTATGGTTATACTTTTAGCAATGGGGGACTTTGTGCAGCTATAATTTATTCATATTAAAATTAACGGAAGAGCAGTGCTAACATGAATTTGGTCCTTTTTCAATTATATTATGCCGAAGTTTTAAAAACCAGAAAATTTAACCCTTTAATGTATACGCAAATCGTGTGTGAGTTTTAGCCATGTGATTAAATTCAAACCAAAAATTTAAAAAAATCAGAATTACTTTTAATTGGCGTTGGGTATTTCATGAACAATTTGGCAAAATTGTACCCACCTATTATAATTAAATACTTCGTAAATGAGTGGTGCTAAAAGTGAGGATTCGTTATCCCAATATGTAAATTTCAATATTGAACGAGTCTTCAATTTATGAGCTTTGTTGAGTGAAAATGCAGCTTGCAGAGTATTTTATGAAAAAAAAAACCCATCTCTCATAAATATACTTTTAATGTCTTACCATATTTAGCATAGTGATAGGTTTAGTATTCATGTTGATATATATATTGTAATATTATTATTTAATATTCAATTTAATTTGTATTTAGTAATTAACGAAATGTAAGGATCGTAACAAAAATCAATATTTTTGTAATTTTGCTTCCATTCCTTTTAAATGGACGATTGTTGTTTTATATTACGAAAAATGTAATTGTTAATTGCAAATTGCTTAATGAATTGTAAGTTTACGAGCATAAATATCGAGTCTTATATGAAAACGACGTATACCTAGATCATTTATTGCAAATGATATTGTATATTTTATTGTTATTAGTAATACGATGACGTTTACTTATGATTTGATAATTAAATTTTACATAATTAAATTAATTTTGTTTTCTTTTAAATAATCCTTACATCGATTCGGTAAGGGTTAATATCTGACAGCATTTTACCGCTTTTTTTCCACCGCCCTGTGTTTTTTGCCGCCCAGCTTATTGCTAGAGCGAGAAAGATAGCGTGTTGTCTATCGCTTCGAGAATAGGACGTATTACTGCTACTTTCTACACTTTATAGCACAATTTATTAATGTCATTCACAGAGTAGTGAGCATATTATGAATTTAATATATATTTTATAATTAATAATTAGAAAGAGTGCAATTTTATCCAATAAATTACATCATTGCTGCCTACTTAGATGTAATCATTCATTTTGAAGAGAGAATATTAACGCAAAAGTTGTTTGTTTAGTACATGGGCTGGTGCTGCCATATATGCTGAGCTTTGCTTGATATTTCCTAATACATATTGTATAATCGAAAAATAACTCTATTAGACTACGAAGTCCCTTTCTATTTCATTAATAAAATTAGTAGTTGTTACTGTAGTTTATTTTGCCATGGATCTCCAGGACGACCGTCCTGCGCTTCTCAGTCCTCTCATGTCCTGTATCAAACCATCGCCCCATCTGATTGGTTCTTTCCTCTCCAATGAGCATCGTTTCTTCTCGCTATGTGAACGATGTCGATAGTATATTTTCCTGACTGCTGTTTGGTGCGAAACAAGTTATTTTATAATCGAGTGGGATATGCGTATTTGTTAAGAGGGGTTCACTTTCAAAAACGTCTTAAACTATTTATATGATTTTTGTTTCAAAAAATAGAACACTCTTCACACTATAAAAAAGTAAGACTTTCACAAGTGCTTGTAACAGCCTAGACTGAATAAATAATTTTTCAGTCGTTAAGAAATAATAATTATTTTTATAAGTGAATTATTCAATAAACTGTAATTGAAGATGGGCGGAGGTTTTCTGTAGGTTTGAAATTAGTAGTAGTAGTTTTGTCCATGGGTCAAGCGAGACCACCGTGGGCCATTAAACTATCTAACAAATAAAAGAATTTTCAAAATCAAAAAGATTGGTGAATATAGGTACATAAAAAATGCATCGCCGTCGAACATAAACTCTCCTTTTCGATTTTGAAGTTGGTTAAAAAGGAGTCAGGACTTTTAAAAGGTAGATAGTATAAAAAAATTGACTGATATTTATTTGTAATATAAGGGTCTTTATTTTACCACCATACTTAGTTTTAGCGGCTTCTGAAAATAGAATACTCGTTTGCTAACACTTTATGAAATCAGATGATTTTTAGCATAAAAATACAGTGCTATTTTGTATTGCCAATATGCTTTTGGTTACGCCTAAAATTTAATCTTAAGGAACGTTTTAATTTCCTTCATAATACCCACACTCGAGTTTTGAGATCATCGGAGAACTTAAAATTGGAGACACCAATGCATTTCACAAAATTTCTTGACAAATCTTTTATAGTTCAAGCTGCCCGTCTCTGGAATGCATTGCCCGAAAATATAAGGCGTGCGCAAACGGTAGATAGTTTCAAAATCTAGTAAAGGAGCACTATCTGTCATTATGAACTTTTACATTATATCCAGTTATAGTATGTATGATTTTTATAGCTATAGTATGTATGATAATTATGTACTCGTATGTATGTTTATATCATGTACATTTATGACACCATAGACTACCTAATTTAGATTTAAATTAAAATTTTCCAAACGGTAACGGTTGCCTGGAAGAAATTGCTTCTTAGCGATAAGGCCGTCGATTGTACTATTTGTTTTATATTATTGTTACCTATAATTGGTGTTTTTGTACAATAAAGAATTATTCTATTCTATTCTATTCTATTAATACTTAAGGGCCAACAACATTTGGCGAAGTGAAGCGCAGAATGTTTTCCTCTATAAACGTGCTATCGATTTTGGAAACATTGGAATAAGATTGAATTTTAATTAATACAACGAAAAAGTTCTGAAACACCGAAGCCACTTACGTATAATGATAGCGCGCCAAAACGCCCTTTCAGTTCAAAATGTCCATTTCCCGAAATCAAGTATCAGACATTTCAGGAATTGAAATCAATCATAATACAAGATTTGACACTGAGAACTGGACATATCGGGAATGAGACATTCTGATCCTGGAATAAGACGTTCGAATATGAAAGGAAAAACCGTTTGCCGCACAATAGCTTTTACTCGCTAAATTCGCCAATGCGACGTTCACACGACAAGGAAATTTTAGTATATTGCACCAATAAGTTGGACTCTTAAGTAATTGACTATGGAAATTTGGTTTAATGATTGTGGCATATCTGCGTACGATCTTGCACAATTAATTGAGGACGCCTTGGAAAACTTCACCGCATTGCTTTACGTTGCGCATCGACAGATGTATTTGTCCCCTATGTTTTATTGTGACCTTCGGAAATAACGACGAAATTGCGTGCGCAAACTATGAACCATAGATGGGAACTTAATGCATAGAATATAGTCGATTGATTGCTATAAAAACTTTTTCAATTGAAATTCTCAGTGTTATTATGTGAGTAAATACTCAAACTTGTTACTCGATCGTGCAGTGGTAAGTGCGTTCGTTTTGCGATTCGAAGGTTAAGCAAACGAAACTATTTTTCGTAAGCGCGTTAGCAATCAGTCCACATTGGGCCTGTATGATGAGTTATGGCCCGTTCTTATCGTTCTATTTGTTCCATTTAGAAGGTTGAGGGACATTATTATTGCGATGATGATAATAAAATACTTAGACAAGGTGATTTCTAAAAAACTTTTATTTCATTACATTAATGAAACCTAATAAATGAATAACCTTTTAAGGCGTAACACGCCAATAGTATCCAGGTAATTTATCGTCTTCTTATGTTACACAATCAATTTCTAATCAAAATGTCGCTTCATATTATGTCGCATGCCTTCTTTTGAATTGCCAATGCCTAGAATATTACAATGATAATAAAATATAATAATAATGCTATAAATTATTATACCTTTAATTCGCGAAAGCATTGTAAGTAATTTCAACAATGCGTAAACACTCGGAGGTCACGGTTTATAATCGATTTCAAAAAGGAGGATATAATTAAGTATCACTAAAAATAATGAAATAATATATTAATAGAACAGATCTTAAACTTCAAAAAAGTAAGAAATTATACGTATAATTAGTAGTGATTCAATTATTCTAGAAGCTTCTATTGAAGTTGGGCAGTTATCATATTAACCTACAGAAAAAAGTGGCACAAATTTTTTTAAAGTTTAAAGTCTGAAGTTCATGTTTGAAAAAAAAACATTATTCATTGAGAAAATTCAATTAATTCACGTTGTTAAACTATAACAGAACACTTAGAAATACGATGCTGTTTCTCATTTGAATAACAGTATATTTAGACTTTAATTATTTGTATAAAATCAGTTCACAAAAGCTGTTTTGGCTTAACACGCTCCCTTTCTTAATTCTCCTTGCAAGTAACTCACTAACTTGAAATGTCTGTCATTAAAAATATACATATTGGTTATAAGATGACCCGTTGCAAAATTTTCTTCATAAATAAGTATTTGAAGCAACCGTCCGCGTTGAAAACGTGAGAACCATCTAAATCAT